CCGTACGCTCTCTAATGCCCAAGCAGTCCTCTAAGTGCTGCACATTGGATTTTATTCGAGGATATGCTGCTCTTAAAGGTGTCCTTTTGGAGTTCGCTTAATGGGATTTAACACGACAATATTACAAAAAATTTTTAAAAATTAACTTCATTTTTACAAAATGGTAAAATGGATTTTACACTACAATATTGTTAAAAATTTTATAAAGTTAAACAATTAAAAAAGTCCCATAACCCATAAGAAATATATTACATAAAAAACATTTAAGTTGATTAATTTAGTATGAAAAAATCAGACTAGTAAATATTATAATTGCTGAAAGTTTATTTCCATATAATAAAGTATATAATTGAATAAAAATCTTAGTGGAAAATATTTAAATTAAACATGAAATTAGTGGATTTACTACGATTTTTATCAGTGCTGCCAGCAAAGAAAGATTTTCTTAAATTGGAGAAATTTTTAAACCGTATTTCTCTTTCAAAAAGTTTAAAACTTTTAAGCGGCCTCAAAACGTTTGCAAGCCTAATTAGATGCGGCCCAAATATTTTTTAAGCCCGAGAAGGAAGCCCATCAATCAACGCCCGTCGACCTTTGTTGATTAGTTTATCAATTAAATGTAATTGCAATTTTATTTTCATTAGCCTTTCAAAGGGTGTCGTTCGTTGGCCCCGCTTCAATGGGGCTAATTAATGGCACAGCCTGTCTGCGAAGGAGTTCCCAATGGAAATCTCGCAGGCCCATAAGCGGTTTCGGAAAATCAGGCGCCCTAATGAAAATTACAAGGCACTGCCCATTAAAATTTGTAGGTGGGATGGATTGGATTCTTCTAATTGCGGAAGCTGTCAATGAAAATTTCCTTCTTTGGCCTCTTTTATTTATGTTAATTCGTTTGCCTCGATTTCTTTCCTTTTTTATGCCCGCCTGACGATATGCTCAATTGCTTTTGTAATCAATCAAAGTCAAAAGCGCAAAATGTTACTTACATACACGCGATAAAGGAGCGTATCCTGGGTATCCTGGGATTCGAGGGGGCAGGAATGGGTGGAGAAGTGCAGCCAGGATGCCCCGGGGGCGGAAACTGGATTGTCATGTGTGTTCGCGATGCTAGATACTCGATGCCGATGCTCGATGCCCGATGCTCGATGCTCTTTGCTCGTATTTTGTGTTGGTGTTTGACGTGACACTTGAGCGACACTTGAAGCCCGATAATTGATATTGTGCTGCCAGAGGATGGGCTTACGGAAGGGGGTCGCCGGAAGGGGGTCTACGGATGGAGTGGGCGTGGCCAACCCGGTTTCTTGTAATTGTCGCTGACACATTTTCGTGGTTTAGTTTGCGGATGGAAGCCACTGATAAATCTAAAGGGATGTCCGTCAATCAGTGGTTAAGTCCACAAAAGAAGCTCGTTCATATGAATAAGATAAGGGGTATAATCTTGAGATCAGATAATAAAATTTACATAGGGAAATCATGATAGCTAACCTTTTTAACTAAAAGGAGTGTAATAGATTTAGCTGCCCAACAAACAACCATGGAAAATGTAATAAAAAGAACTTGCGTTTTACAAGAAAAGAAAAGAGTTTTCTCCCAGAAAATTTGTAAGAAATATTAAAAATGTTATGAAAATATGGCCTAATTTTTAAATTATAATTCGTTTTTATTATTTTCCATTATATAAAAGTCTTAATAGTTTTCCATATTTGTATTGTAATACTTTTTATTAAATTCAATACAATACTTTTGCATCTGATGACTTAAAAACACCCTTTATACTTATTCATCTGTACTTTAAGATCTTTCATCCAAGCAAAAATCGCCTTCGACCAAAGTTCTCTTTTATTTGGGGCATTTGGTGACTGGTCTTTTGAATCTGGTCAATGTGCCAACTGCCGCCCACTTAGTGTCAACTTCAGGAACAGTAGACTCCAACCCCTAACAACCCCCAACAGTCCCCCGAAAGCCACCAGATAATTGTTAACCATTAAGTCGCACCGCAAATCAAGTGCAGCAATTGCAACTGGACTGCAATTCATTTGCGGCATGGATCATTAAAGGGCGCAGGGACCGAGAACTTTGGACCGGAGACAAACCGCACGCAAAGTTGCCAACGTGGCCGAAACAGACGTCACCGCCGGAAAACCAGTCGGGCCAAAACAAACCACCAGCTACCATCTGCCAACCCCTCGGGCCATCGAAAAAGCTTCAGCCGGAAAGTTTGTGAGCATAAAGAGTTTTCATTTTACGGCCAAGTGATGGATGGAGTGGATGAGCCTGGTATAATGGGTACAAAAAGGATTGCAGGATGGTTTTACGCTGCTTTCAGATCCATTAAGCATTGCCGATGCCAATCCGGCGAAGGAAGATGGGGTTTCATCCCTTTGAACTTTCGTCGGGGGAAAATATAATGACATGCGTCGCAACTATTTCGCACTTGGAATATTTAATGTACTCAGTTTTTGGAAAACATTATCTGTCATTAGTGTCAGAAATTATGGCACATCCATCGGAATCCTTTTAATGCCAAAGTGATAAGTCGATTCAGTTAATAATGTCAGGCCTTTAATGCAGCAGATAGCAGAGTTGACATCTATTAGACGACTGCGAGACACTTTTCAGCCTGCCAGACGACCGCTCACATTAATATTAATTTATACGAGAAGTAAATAATTTATGAAATTTCCATCATTTTCGGTAATTAAGCGCAGCTCACCGGGGCCTATGACATTTTAATTAAAGCCTAACCCAAAGCCGCCGCCATGAAGACCGAAAAAAATAAAAAAGATAAACGCCCCAGTCGAATGCCTCTTGAAATTATTATCATCACACCCACGCAAGGCAGGCACAAGGGTAAAAAAGAGCCAGTAAAGAAAGCAAAAGTTTGGCGACAATCCCGACGCACTTTTATGGCACGGCTTTTGGCTGCGAGTGAAAATGAAGATACGAGAAAGTCCCGACCCGACCCCAAAACTTGCTATCAGTGTCGCGAGTGGGGGCGACTTAGGGATGGAACTTGGGAAACTATTCAAATATGAAAAATCATTCTTATAATAATACCTTACAACGTAAAATTATGAAGAGAAGATTTTAAAAGAAACAAGAGAGAACGCTTTGTCAAGAACTTTGACTATCAGATAATATCTGAGTGCGAGGGAGACGAAGAAATTTTTGATGGCTTCATCTAGCGGTTGCTTAAATCATTTTTGATCATTTTTGATCCGATTTAAAAAAATTTGTCTACATTTTGATAGATATTTTTAAAGTCAACAAAATTGCATTTATACATTTCCTAAATCTTGAAGATTTGGGTCCACTACGGTTAATCAAAGAGAATATTGTCTGCTAATTCTTTTCCTATTTCGAAATACAGTAGACACACATTCTTTTAACTCTCTTTCATACTGTTTTCAGGACCTCTGTTTTCTTTTTAGAATCTTCCATCACTACCGTAAAAACTTTGGCGTGTGTGTGAGTGTACTTTTCTGCTTAAAGTATGATTGCAAGTGTGAAAATATATATGCTAAACGTGCCCGAATGCCCCGCTTCTGCTTCTTCTGCTGCGGCTGCTTCGCCTTTGCCGTTGCGCTTCATGCGTTTTTGTTTTATGACGCGACGACGTGCTCGGAAAATGAAAAGCACTTGACGCGCCAAAGTGCTGAACTTGGCGGTCCTCCACTGGAGCTCCGTCCGTCCGTCCGCCGGTTCATCAGGCGCCAAACCCAAACCCAAACCACCCGACTCACAGTTGGTCCACACATGCTAAATCGTAAAATGCTCCATTCTTTCTTCTTTTTTTTTGCTCGAGTTTTTCTTTACTGTTAAAGTTCTTATACACTTTTTATAAGGGGTATCTAAAATACAACTTAAAGCAAGAAATTTAAAAAATTTATTTATATTCTTTACATTGTATTTTATTTTTTCATTTTTCTCAATTAAGCAAGTTATTATTTTTATTCGAATGTTAAAAAATGAAAAATAAAACCATACTTAAATATATTTAAAATATTTTAGACAGCAATTAAGCTACAATTGAAAAGCCATAAAAACTATATAAATAGAAAACTCTTAATAAATTTTAATTCATTTACTGTATTTCGAAGAGTATCCCGAGAACTTTGAAAAGTAGCAAAATCAGTTTCCACTTTTTGCCGTTGCCTTATTTTTTATGCGACGTGCGCTCGCCTGTAAATGGGTTTCTCCTTGGCTTCCATTACTTCTATTCCATTCTCATTTGTTCGAACAATTTAAGAAATTGTCGCCTGGCTGTCCTGGCTGAGGAACCCTGGCCAAACACTCCTCCTGCTCCTGGCGTAAAAAACACTATGCATGTGCGAAGTTTATAGTAAATAAAGTATGATTGTCTATTGTCAATGCTCGTTGTTTTTGTGGTTTATAAAAATTCAACACTCTATTTGCTGCTCATCGCTCGGTCGCTCCCTCTCAGTTAATTTCATTTGATTTATATGGATTGCGCAAATGGAAATGGAAATGGAAATGGGATTGGGACTGTGAGGATGGGGTTGAAGATGGGGATGAGTTTGGCTTTGGGGTTAAGCCATGTTCTGTAATCGCTCTTGTTGATGACGCTGATTTCTGGATGCTATTGTGGTCAATAAATTACCAGCTGTGCAGCAAAAGCCTCTCACGCTTTTGTTCCCTTTCACACATTTGAAGTGCACTTTATGCTTTTTGCATGCACAATTCGCAATTAATTAAAACAATTATGTAGGCAACGAGACACGACAACAGGAAAAAGGCAAACCAGAGGGCTATGTAAAAAAAATCCAACAAGAAAAGCGAGCATTTTCTGCGGAAAAATGTCATGTCGCCTGTCAACCACACATCCCCAGTGTTCGAGTATTATGCAATTATAAAAATGAAGGAACAGGACTCTGGTTAAATTCAATTCCCACACCTTTGCTCCTTGAGTCAAACTTAAATCCAAAATGGTGAGAAGTAAGCAAAATGGTGATCTATTTATCGAGCTGCTTGTCTAAACTATGCGATTGTTCCAATTGTTCCTCATGACCACATCGATATCACTAATGTTGATCATGGAAAGCGACGGAACCCCATTAATGGCATTATTGGATGGCAGCTTCCTAGGGAGTTTCAATCGAACGAATGGAAGTTCTGAACCAGAAGTTAGGAATACCTCCAAAGCCACTAGGTTAAGTAAAAAGTTAAGATCAAGAAAGGAACAGGAAGATAGAAATATTGCTGAAGAAGAGGAACGGAAAAATATTGAGAGTCTATGGGATCCCATTCTGAATCAAAGCTATGACTTTTCCAGCATTATGGATTATGATAACACCACTAGTATAAGTAAAAAGTTAGGATTGGAAGATCAAGAAAGTCTGTTTCATGAAGAAGAACAAAATCGAACTAGAAATGTATGGCAACCCGTTTTCTTAGAGGATTATAATCACCAAAACCATACGGAAGAAAATATCGTAAATCAAAATGAAGATTATGACAACCGAAACCAGACGGAAAAAGAAGAGATCGGAGAAAATGAATTGGTTTATGAAAATAACTCGAAGGATGCTCAACCCAAAACGAACTTTAAGCTCGATGAACTCCCTCAAATTGAAGAAAATTGGTATCCGATAAGTAATCAAAGTTTCATTTGCAACAGTACCAACTCTTCAGTGTTTCGAAATCAAACTTTTGAAGAAAATAACTTCAAACTACCCTGCCTGTCGCCAAAAACCATAGAGAACAGATCACCAATGGAGAGTTATAAGAAAATAAGAAAACGAATACAGGTCAAATTATACATCAGACCTGTAGTAGAATATGGAAGGGAATATTACGTTTTCGCAACTATTCCCAAACTGGGTAAGACCAATTTCGTGCTCAACATTACGGTGGATACCAACGATTATTTAATCAATGAGATATTTACGGCCGTTCAAATCAAACATACGGGTTGGGGTCATACGAAGAACTTGCGGGCCTTACTGGAAAAGTTTGACATACGCGGCTATAAACTTCGGTATAATCGCTGTTATTTTTACCGCAGCACAGCCACATTCTACAATACAAAAACCCAATTGCTAATCGGCAAAGTAAGTTCACTTGTGAACAGGCACAAGCTATTGACTAGTAAGGCTCGTACGAAAATTACAGTACGGGGTCCAAAAAATGTGGACTGCATACCGTCTTTGAATTTAGAATTCTGCAAGAATCCCGAAGAGCCGGTAGCGATTTCTCCCTGGGGTCATTTGGAATTCTTTGCTACCATTGGCGATGAGTGCCGTATAGTGGAGTATAAAGATGTGGAATGGAATTACTGTGACATTAGTGAGAAAAGTAAGAACCCACTGAAAACAATAATTATTTATTTGAGCAATATTTCCGTTTTTTAGTCCTTTTCGATCATGTGGAAGAAGCGATAGGACTTGTCTACAAGCTATTGCCGTACAAACTAAACTTCCATCAAAATCCAGATGGAACAAAGGTCTTTTTGCTACGCGTAGAAGCCAAGATCAATGACGTCTTTACTGTAGCTCGTGTGAGTGGATAAGATCTAGGAGAAATGTATAACCCCTCAGTCTTTGATCTTCATTCCAGTGCTATGTGACGTACAGAACACCCCAAGTTGAGCCCCAAATCTTAGGCAATGAGCTGCGAAAAGTTGACGTTCGAAAACCGGTCTCCATCGATGGGTCCAGCAGCATGGATAGGATCAAAAAGTTTGAATCTGCTGAGACTAAGGATTTCTTTTGGAGCTGCCGCAGTCTAGACGATCCTGGTAACAAGTATTGCACTAAAGATATGGCCGTGGGTGAGTATTGGGGGGTAAATATTCGATTTAGACTTGTAAAAAATGGATTAGTTTGAAATAATATGATAAAAATATATGCAGTACAATTTTAGGAAATTTGTCTTGCACGTATTTTGAAATAATTTGATTGACAATTAACTTAAATCATAAAAATTATTTAACAAGGAGTGCAACAATATTTTTTTATGTTTGAATTTTATTTTATTTAAGTTGATTTTTTTGTGGACAACAGTAAAAAAACATACAATTTATGACCTTTATTGATTTTTTTTAAGGTTTTCAAAAAAAAGAATTTTAAATAAATTGCTTTTCAGTTTTTAGGGACACCAACAAATTTCAAAATATTATGAAAATTATTCTATTTAAACTGAGCTACAAATTGTATTTCTAGTGCCCACCTTTAGGTTACCCGCAAATGCCCTCAAGCCCGATTCCCAGTACGACTTCAGTTTGACCGTGGTGTCGCGAATCAATCCGGATAATCGATGGACCGCATCGCAGGTGGTGAGAGGTACTAAGATCCCATCCTTTACGCCCCAGATCCTCTGCCGTCGCAACTGCGCTCTGGGCGTCTATGCTCCGCTCGACAGCGTTCACTTGATCCCCAAATGCGATGATTGCCCGAGTAAAGTCAAGAAGAGGTACGAGTGGTGGGTGAAGGCACCTGGGACAGCAGCCCATCTGGAGTCCCGCCACAAATACCTGATTCTTCACCACGCGGAGCGTATTCTCTCCATTCGACTCAAGGTCATTTTGGCAAATAAAAGATGGGCGGAGACCTTTTATACCCTGCGGCGGAACGACGGTCCTCAGAAGGGCAGATGCGAAATCTCTCCCTATTATGGCCTCCAGAGCGTGACCATTTTCGAGATTCAGTGCCTGGGATTCGAGTCGCCCTACTCCCCACTGACCTTTCGCTACAAGGCGGTCACGGGTGTTATAGCCTCCAATGTGCCATTTAATAGGTTTAAGGTTACACTGCCCGTCACCAGATGGGTTAAGATCTCGATTTGCGACACCATCGATATGTGTGTGGAGCATGAGGTAGATGTGGTAGTTCTTCCGCTAAGTGGCGTCTTCAGAACTCAGGTGGCCGATGTAATGGCGGATGTGCCGCGACTTTTGCTGCATGGCCAGTGGAACCGGGCCTTTGTGACGAGTCTTGTGGGAGCCAAATTTATACAGACCACCAACAAGGGACGTGAGGTCTACGCGTATGTAAAGAATATCCATTTACACACGGGCTCTCAGCTGGAGCAGCTCACCTCGCTGGCCACGCACATATTGCTCCAATTGACCCCTGTGGATTACCGAGGGGCCACCCTGATGGGTGAGATGTTCGCCCAGCTGAGCGACATCTTCGAGGAGATCATCCAGGAACACGAGTGGCTGCATCGGGATGCCTATCAGTCGCTGACCGCCATGCATATGTTCTTCATGTCCGTGTTGGGCGTGAAATCGGAACACCATTCGGTGGCCATGTGCAAACCGTACAATCCAGAGTGCCTGAACCTGCAGAGAATCGACTTTGAAAAGAACTTTGCCATCGAGTTCGATCCCCTGATTCTGCTGCGCATCAATAGCTGGATGATGAACACCTGGTATTTGTACAGGTGCGTCTACTTCATAGGCGTCATGGCCACCCAGCGACATCATCCCTATGACGACGCCTTGGCAATCCATTCGGGCGGCATTGCGTACCAGGTGGGTGATAGTTTAGTTACGAAAATTGATCGAAATAATGGTTTGGTTAAATATATTAACTATCGAAATTATCGATTAGTTAAAAAATATGTTTTATCGAAATAATTATTTAGTTTCAAATATATATAGAAATAATGGTTAAGTTACCAATATCCATTTTATCGAAATTATCGTTTAGTTATAAATGTCGAAATATATATATATTTGCGGAACAATCGATATTTCCGGTAGTCAATAAATTGGCAGCTTATCGCTAGTTATAAAAATCTAAATATCTATATCAAAAATTCTTATATTTTACCATTTCTTTTTTAAGATAAATGTAACGGAGGTGACGGACAATACCAAAGACATCATCCTTGAGACAATCGACAAGATTCACGTTATCCAACTATCCAAAGCGCTACTCCACGAACTGGAATCGAACCTGAAGAACAGCATCATTCTGTTCCAGACCATCTCGCAGCAGAACCACCACAATATCTTCTGGTGGTACCCCGATCCGTTGCCCTCGAAGACCAGTGTTCTAATAATCCACGCCTACAGTCCCGAAAAGTTCTTCACCAACGCCGAGGAGGCCGAACTGAAGAACCCGTTGATCTACAAGACGAATATTAGCCAGTTCAATGATGCGTATTTCACCCAGTGGATGGCAAATAGCAGCATTCGAAATAGCACGGAGATCCATATTTACAGTCTGATGCTGAACCACAAGGCCATGTTGGCAGTGCGAATTGTGAGCTGTTCGGAGCTGATGTTGGTCAAGATGCGGATGCACAGGTGGCCGACACTGGGCCAGATTCGCCAGAGGGCCTGTAGGATAACGCCTGAGATGGCTGGCAAGCGCATTTGGTTGGCCAACTCGTGCGATCGCAGCCGGGCCTATGTGGCCATTCACCGACCAGGTGAGACGCGTTTTAAAAAGAAAAAACTAAGGACGGGAAAGAAAAAGAAGGATGAGAAGAAGCGGTTGAGGAAGGATACTTACTTCGACGATTACGATGGTGAGGAGGAGATGCCCAAGTCGAGATATCTGAACTACACGATCCTGCTGGAGATATATCATTGCAACTTCTGGAAGAACCGCTCATTGGATCCCGGATGGAGCGAGGATTACTGCACCACGACCTTCGAGCATAGTTTTGGGACTTCGGTTCAGTGCACTTGCCACACTCTGGGCACACTGTCTTCTAGGATTTTTCCCATCTCAGCGGAATTGTTTGTGGAGCACATACCCCTGCCTATATTAGCATACAACATGATCATGCTGTTCTTATTCATGATGCTCTTTTTTTTGGCCATCCTGAAGTGGATCTTCAATGTCGACATCATCACTGCCCATCTGAGGGAACCGAATATTCTCCAGTGCGAAAATGGTAAATTGGGAAGAGTTAATAGTGGTGCATTCAACGAGGGAGCCGAGATCCTTCTCGTGATTGTAACCGGAGGTCAGGAATTTGCGGGGACTTCTTCGAACATCAAGTTCTACTTCAAGTCGCCCAATCGTCCGCAGACCTCGTATCAGATTACTCAGGATCCCGGTCACCCGAAGTTACTGAGGAACAGTACGAACAAACTGATGATTCCCAGGGGAAATATCTATATACCCACCCGTTTGGCCCTGGGCATCGGGCGGAATGGGAGGTATCCCTCCTGGTATTGTCGCTCCATCACAGTGGTGGACCTCGAGTTGAATGTCCAGCAGCTGTTCTTGGTGGAAAGTTGGATTGTGCGGGGTCACACGAAGTTCATGCGATCCAAGTACTTCACGATGGGCTCCTATCGCAAGAACCCGAAATACACGTGGTGCCAGCGACTGCGCCAGCGGATCGAGCAACTATATGTCAGCTGGTTCATGATCAGTCCCATTACGGGACCCTGGCAGAGTAACGTGGGCGGCATCATCATGAATCGCTTTGAACGCACCTGCGTGTGGATCTGCAACACGGCCATCACCTTGACCGTGGTCTCACTGTACTTTGGCAAGTCCACGGTGGAGTCCATTCAGGAGGAAACCAGGCAGAATATCGAGAACGAACTTAAGATTCCTCTGGTACTGGTCCTGGCCTTTTATGCCTTTGTCATTTGTTTACTCATACATTTCGTGTTTGAAGTCCTCTTGTTGCGTTGGCTGTGGCCGCAAAAGTAGATTAAGATTATAATAGGAGCTTGTTTAATAAATAACACTAAATTTTATATTTGTTTACATTTATTACATTATATTATCTATTGCTGTTTAATTTTTTTCTCCAATATCAGTCAGTTCTTTTGCAATTTCCCAATTTAAATAGTCCAAATTAGCACTCGAAGGGCTCCGCCTTCTGTTCTGGCAACTATATCCGACCGGGCTTGGGCTAATGGATTTTTCCACGCCTAATTACCATTACTTAGCCGAAAGGGTGGCAAAAAACACAGACACAAACGTGGGAAAAAAAAGGTAAAATTGCATTAAAAATTATCGCTACTTTTTTTAGAAACTATGCTTTTCGTATATTATTTTTTGTAACTTGAGTGTGTATGCAAATGGAATTTCATAGTCACCATTAACACCTTTTTGCACTGTCTCTCCTTCACACCTGTTTCTTGTGGTCCCTGCCATTTTTTTTGTCCGCATATTTTATGTGACGTAGGGCGAATTTAAAAATAAAAAAAAATAAAATAAAAATGCATTTAATTAAATGCCACACAAATGCTGCGAAAAACGTTTTCAACGTGTGATATTTTATGCCAGAAGTCGGGGGTTTTTTCTCGGCTTCGCTGCGCTGTTGTTCTCGTTTCTCATTGTCGTGGGGACAGTCGAAAAATGCATTTTCATAACGTTACTGGACATTATAAATGTGTTAAGTTGGGGTGGTGCCTGGGTCCTGAATAATTTGCCCTTAAGGAATATTGCAAAGTGTCCAAATAAATTAAAGGGACAACAGTTGAAGTGTTAGAAAAGAAAAATGAAGTGAAAATAAAATTTTATAGATGAAAAAAAAATTAAAATTTTTTTAAAAACTTTAAACGAAAACTCTACATACCTCTTGTCTTTCGTTAATGAAAACATGTGTAAATCTGTTCCCAATTTCAATGCAATTCCATGGACCTCTTTGACATTCACCCTTGAGGCTGTGACGTATCGTCGTGGATCCCCGAAATTTTGGCAACAGCTCAATCTGCAACCAGTTCCGATTTTTGCTTACTTTGTAGTTGGCCATAGATTTGCGGCTCTGGCCCACTCCTTCGCCTGAAGTGATTTTGTTTTTTTTTTTTTTAGTTCGAAAGTCGCACAGAGGATGCAACGGAAATTGTACTGAGGGCACGGCCATTATTCTCTCCACTCTGCCAGAAGCCCAAGGAGACGACATACGCATCTGAATTTGTCATATTGTAGTTCTTTGGGCTGCAATGTCTGTGGGTACCTACTGCTCCAAAGTTCAAAATTGGGTATATTTGGTATTTGGAATTGAAAAGGAACCAAAAGAAAAGATCTAAAAGCAAAAGACCTTAAAAGTATGTCCTTAAACAGTTACCAAAATATTATAAATATTTAGAGATATAGTAAAATCCCAAATAAATTTACTCTTCTTAAAAGTTATATTTAAAAATATAAAAAATATATATACAGCATTTAAATATATTTTTAAATATCTATTCGTTTATTACATTTTCTAACAATTAAATATTTCACTTTAAAAATAAAACAAATGGCAAAGTTTGAAAAAGGCAATACAAAATGTGTTCATTTAACTCAAATAAATAAATAATTCGATACAGTACTTATTTATATTGTGTAAAATAAATATCTAAAAGTGGGTATCCGTGGGTCTAAAAAGTGCTCCAAAATTCTGACGTGCTTTTTTTCTGCTTATGCGTTTTTCTGGAGCCACCAGCCGACAAAATTGCAGCCGACAGTTTGGCACATTCCCATTTTCGAGGCCCAGGCATAACCACGCCCACTTTTTGGCCACTGTTTGCATACGTGCCCGTTGTGAAATTGCCTGGGCGCACTGCTCAAATCATTGGCCGCTGCCACGCCCACAGACACCCACGCCCCTCCCTTGGCCTGTGGGGGAGCGCAACATGTTAGTGACACAATCGAAATGGAAAACGACATGGAACATGGCAACAATAACGAGCGGCAATAACAAACAACTTGGAATTTTCAACCGGGCCATGAGACAGGTAAGAAAACGAGTACGAAAACCGGGCGGAAATTGGAAGTGTGAAGTGTGTGAGTGGATTAGTTATCCTGAGAATTGTTGCCGTTTGGCAAATTTCCTTCTGATTTGCGGCACTACCACTCATTCACTCACCCTTCGGCTTATGCTTACAGTTTCGGGAGTCAAGCTGAAAAAGATTTGCCAACCCCGAAGCAAACACCAAAAATGGAATTCAAGTTGTGCATAAGCAGCTCTGGCAATCTCCCGAGGACAGCTACCTGTAAATATATATATCGCTGGCAGTTTTCCCTCAGACCTACACTCTTTTTTTCCACCATTTCCCAGCGGTTTGCTTACACTGCAGCGACGCGACTCTGCGGGGCACATAGGCAAATCCAGTTGCAGCTGGAACTTAAGTTGAGCCAGGTAAATGCTCAGATTGAGTGACTGTCGGATGGGAACTCACTGAGCGGGCTTACCAGCCATGATGGAGAGCTATTTAGTTTTTAATTAGAGTAAATAGGTTTAAAGACATTCGCGATTAACGTGGTTAAGTAATTATTTTACAGAGAATTAACTTTAAAATATCTCAAGTTCACCCAGAAATACACCCTTTTGATTATTTTATATTTTAATATTTTTTTAACAATAATTAAAAATATACCAAATGTGAAAATTTATGAAACAAAAGCGGTTTTATGTTATGAGGAAAGTTAAGTTTATTATTTCATGATTTTAAATGGATTTGGAATTAATATAACAATAATTATAATATTTTTAATATAATAAATATCGACAGTTTGACTTAAGTGCATAAATGTATTCAAGATGTAATATAAATGCAAGTAGAATTTGATATGAAATAAAAAGACATGACAAGTTAATAGTCTATTAAAATTTATTATAATTTAATCTAGGGAATTTTTAGTAAATTCGTTAAATTCGGTCACAAACGAAGCAACCTCTAGTCGAATGGCCGATTCTACTCTCGACTGCTCATGTGGAACGTCTGCTGGCGGAGTCGTCGTCTGTGGTATTCCCAGTTTACCGACTTCCTATTCCCGATCCAACGACGCTCTCCACGGCGCATTGCACATACGCCGTGTGGTGCAGTTGAGTTTCGTTCACGGTATTTTGCCTATAAAATTTGCAAGAATTCGTTGTGTCAATTGTGTGGGCCCATGCCCTTCTCTTTCTCTCGTCTACCTCCTAGATGACTTGTCTAGTTGGAAAATATACATTTCTTTACAGCCTTAAATTTTGCTCAACAAATTGGCATTTTTATTGTGGGGAAAACGGATCACGCTTTAAGCCAAACACGAAGTCGTTTGCAGCTACATTTTGCGCGAAATTGTGGCTGTAGCTGAAAGCAAACCATCAAGTCTGCATTACATGGGGCGTATGCGTAATTTCGGATGCAGTAAAAATCCAGCTGCAGATGTTTCGAAGCACGAAATTAATTACGGAAAATAAGTACACAGATACATACAAACACATACGCGAGCGCATAATAAGGACAAGAAGGACCAACACAAGGAACACAGCGCCGGAATAATAATAATAAGTAACAAAAATAAACTTTACACGCTCAAGAAGAGCAACAAAAGCAAGAAAAGCAGGAAAAGCAGAAGGCAGAAGCGGCGGCAGTGGCTATAAACAAGCATATGCTAAGGCAGAAGGCATAAAAATAAATCCGAAGAAGGGAAAACTTTTTGATATTATCTGACTATGCGAGAGTGTATGTTAGGACGAACGTGTGTGTGTGTGTGAAGTGCCTCTGTGTGTCTGTGTGCTTTGCAGATCACTCTCACATGTCTGAGAATCCGTCACGAAGGACCAAGCAAAAGTCTTGGTTTTGACAGCTGTCGAAAAGTTGACTCCTTTTTAAAAACGTTTATTTTAATTAATTTAAAAATAATGAAATATATTTAAATTTATTTAATTTACTCCTTTAGAATACAATTTATATTTTATTAATTTCATTAAAGTGTATTAATAGCCAAATAAATTACTTTCTTAACTCAAACTAAATCATCGTAAAGAGAAAAGCTTTCTACTGCAATTTAATTAAATTTATTACCAGCTAGAAAAGAGTTATCTTGTTTTTTTTTGTCAAAGTTTTCTATCTCATTCATTTTATTTCCTTTGTCTTGCCTTTCATCTTGACCTGTTTTCCTTATTCTTATTACTGGGCTCTCGCCTTTTAAGCATTTTATTTTACTGGCCAAAGGCAAAGGCCAGGCTCAGAGCTTAAACACAAAATAAAGGCAGCAATTAGTGCTAAATAAAGAAATCATAAAGTGTAAATAATATTTTTCCAGCGCAAATGAAAAGCAAGCAGGGCAAAACCACAAGAAGCCATAACAGTACGGAAAATACGTATTATTTACGGCTGTCATTGTTTTGACATTCAAAAAGAGAGAGAGAGCGAAGAAAACTCTTTGGCCGACAGCCTGCAATCAGTTTGTAAGGACATTTCGAGCAATTAATGTTAAACAAAATGTTTAAAATAAATGAATCAAATTTGTCTAAGCACATCAAATATATTTATTTTAGTTAAACAAAACTTTAAAATATATTTAGACTCAGTTATTTGTCTTAGTTATGTTTTCCATAGATTACCCAACATGTCTTCATTTATTCGACCCGAAATAAATCTCAAAATGCACATTTACTGTACAACAAATGCATGCGAAATGCATTTCCTCATGCACAATCTAAATGAATTTATGACTACAATTCGCAAAAACTCAATAAAATATGACTGTTAACTGTGAATTTGTCCTCCATTCAGGATTGCATGCATAAAACCATCAGGGAAACCACCAAAATAAAAAAACCCTGCCGTCTATATATATTTGGTATATCTGTGGAGCAGAGGAGCGTACAAGGTAAGAGTTTGTCTCTTGGCTTTAAGTAAAGTGGAGTGTGAAGCGGGGGATCGAGGGGAAGGACAATTCCTGGCGGGAATCACGTAACGAAGTGCATTGTTAAAATATAATAA